CACACCAGGGGAGCTTGGTCCTCCATCCTCACACACCAGGGGAGCTTAGTCCTCCATCCTCAGTAAGGCCAGAGGAGCTTGGTCCTCTGTCCTGTGCAGCAGGGCATTAAACAGGGTCCAGGGAGATCGCCTAAGAGAGAATGAGGAAAAACAGGCAAACACAAAGGAACACGGCTTGTCGATAGGCTGAGCTGATCAAACCATAAATTTTACTTTTTGTTTGTTTTTTTCGAGACAGGGTTTCTCTGTGTAGCCCTGGCTGTCCTGGAACTCACTCTGTAGAACAGGCTGGCCTCGAACTCAGAAATTTGCCTGCCTCTGCCTCCCAAGTGCTGGGATTAAAGGCGTGTGCCACCACTGCCCGGCTAAATTTTACTTTTTACACACAGGTTATATACATAAAAAGGCAGGATGTGGGGAAGATGATGACACAGGAGCGTAGGTGTACAGATCTCTTCCAGAACAGAGTGTCAGCTGGGTGAAGGTTCAGGGGACAGATCACTATGACTCCGCCTATGATTCACTTGTCCTTATCTAAGTTGGTTCTGTTCACCAAGGTTACCTATCTACAAGGACTATGACTAGCTTGGCAATTTTCCACCAAAGCTGCTTGTTTACAATAGCTTCTAGGCATCTGTTTCAGTGTTTTTCCACAGAGACCCAAGACTTTGTGTTAGCAGGCATGTATGTCAGGCCTATTGCTGATTTTAGGTCTTCAGTGTATAAGCAGGGCTGCCCCTAACATCTCCCCCTCTCTCCAAGTATAGAAGGACCATGGCGATTCTAATCTTGCGAAGGCAGGGATAGAGGCCTAACCTCCAGTAATTAAAGGGGACCTTGTAATGGCTCCAGTCCCCCTGTCGTTGTTCAGTGGAGCATGAGGGCCATACTCATCCCGATGTCTTTTTCCTGGAGAGGGGATACTTTTGACATCAACCCCTATGCAGTCAGGCTTGTCCCTCAGGGAACCCAGAAAGATATTTTAAATTTTATATTCCCTTGCAGTGCTTAGCCTTGCAGCCTAAGTAAGAATTCAGATCACCAGTCAGAGGGGGTTCTGGGTGGCCCCTCTCTGCTTGGTCTAGGGATGGAAGTCCCCTCTTTTAGGTTGGGTGGAGATGGGTTTTGGAAACACCCTGGATTGAGTAACAACCACGTCTTGAGTCTTGTGGTCCTCCATAGCTAACTTATGATAATGTATCTGAATAGATTTTGCTACCAAATCACCTATCTGTTGTTTCACAAAATTAGTCAGCCTATTTAAGGCCCAGGGACCAAAGGAAATAAGCAAAAATAACCCAATTAATGGTCCCAAGATGGGAGGAAGGAGGTTGACAACCATGGAGAGATTGAAAACCAATTCTTGTACCAGCTCTAATCTTTCTCTCTCTGTCTCTGTCTTTTCTCAGGGCCTTCTCTGACCTTTTTCATGCTCTCTAACCATCCCTGACTTGTCTATGTAAAAGCAACATTCTTCTTTAAGGGCTGCACACAGTCTAGAGCTGTACACAGCCTTTTCTATTGTAAAAGAGTAAATCAAGTCCAATAAAGTCCTTTGCATTTTTTGGAGATCATTTCAGACAGCAAAATGAGGGATTCCTTCAGATTAGTGATGTCAATCTCTAGCTGTTTGATGTCCTTGTTTGATGGTCTATCGAAGGTCTGAGTAGTATAAGTCTGGAGGCCAGCATCAGGATTAGAACTTCCAGCCGCAAACACCACAGGTGATTCATTTTTACCTGGAAAGGAAAAGGAAGGGAATTCTCAGGGAGATTTCTCTTCCCTGGATGTCAATTGTTATTCATCTTAATTATAATTGGGCCTGGCTTTGAGGGGTCATTAATCTTTTTGGTAGTCATTTAGCTGTGCCTTCTTTGGTATCAAACAGGCATATCAGTCCTCGGCTCCATATGAGAACTGAGTCCGGGCCATTTCATTTAATGGTAAGAGGGTCCTTCCACATAACTGTGGCATAGTTTTTGTTGGTCTCAGCATGCCAAAGGCAGTCAGCAGCAGGCTTTCCATGTGCTTTCAGATTTAGAAAATTGTGAACGAACAGGGCATGATGGAGAGTACTTCTGGGAGACTCCTTCTGAGGGTGTAAATCCCCCTCTTTTGTTTTAAAAAGCCAATTTTTTAGACTTCTTAGTAAGACCAGGGCAGAAGCACCAGCAGCCGCATCTCCCACACTCAGAGAGTCATAAAGACACTATTTTAAAGTTCCACAATATCTGTTCTATAATATCTTGTCCTTGAGGATTATAAGGAATTTCAGTAACATGGGTAATACCAAATTGTCAACAAAACATCTCAAATGTCTGACTGCAACTGTCAGTTTTGTTTATCTTAATCTGATATGGAACATCAAGCATAAAAAGATAATATAGGCAATAACTAATTGTACTTTCGATTGTTTCTCCTGTTAAAGCAATTTTAACTCAAAAGCCTGAAAAGGTGTCAAATCACATGTACATATTTCAATCTTTTAAAATCAGAAATGAGTAACATCTACTTGTCATAATTGATTATGTATAAGTCCTCAAGTATTAACACCATTGTGAAAAAATTGAGGACACTAAAAACAAATTTTGTAATTTGATTTATATATTCTCTAGAAATATCAAATTGTTGTCTCAAGCCATTATTACTAAACATAGATCTATAAAAATGTACTATCTTGTGGTGATGTTATATAATAGATGACTTTTTACATCTTAATGATGATCTTATAAAAAAAATTTTATAAGAGGCCAGAGGAGCTTGGTCCTCCATCCTCTGCAAGGCCAGAGGAGCTTGGTCCTCCATCCTCTGCAAGGCCAGAGGAGCTTGGTCCTCCATCCTCACACACCAGAGGAGCGTGGTCCTCCATCCTCACACACCAGAGGAGCGTGGTCCTCCATCCTCACACACCAGAGGAGCTTGGTCCTCCATCCTCACACACCAGAGGAGCGTGGTCCTCCACCCTCACACACCAGAGGAGCTTGGTTCTCCATCCTCACACATCAGAGGAGCTTGGTCCTCCAGCCTCACACATCCTACATTGCTGTAAGGAAAGGCAAACAGCTCACAGGGCAGGCAAGCAACTACTAAGGTTCTTGGCCGTGGGACATAGAGTGTAACTCTAGTCCCTGAATATGTGCTTCTTCCAGCCTTACCACTTTACACAATGTTGTTTATTTTATTGTGTACTACAGATTGAACCCAGGGCCACGCACATGGTAGGCAAGTGGTTTTCCCACTGGGCTATTTACATTTCCTGGCCTCTCTTTACTTTGTTTGAGAAGGAAGTGAAAATGTGAAATTTTTATTAAAATTGGAGTCTCTGCAAAGTGTATTTTTAAAAAGGATTTTATTGGCATACATAAACTATACACGAGGATGGGCTTCCTACAACATTTTCAGACATGTATAGAATGTATTTTGATCACATTTACCCATTTCCCTCCCTTGTCTCCTCCCACTGATTCCCAACTAGCCATCCTCTGTACATGTGGGTACCAATGAATTCAATTGGGGTTATATAAAAAAACAGTTCTGTCTGAGGCAGGGTCTTATTAAGCTAACCAAACCAGCATCGAACTCACTCTGTCTCCTGCTGGCCTTGAACTCATGAGCTTCCTGTCTTAGCTTCCTGAGTATTTGGGATTACTGGCCTTAGTTAAGGCCAGGATCACTTGGTTGGTTGGTTGGTTGGTTGGTTGGTTGGTTGGTTGGTTGGTTCAGGATCTCCACTACATAGGCCAGGATTACTTCAAATTCAAATCCTCTTGCCTCAGCCTTCTGAATTGCTAGGATAACAGATATTCATCACTACCACCACCACCACCACAAAGGAGTGTGGAATTTGCTCCCCAATCCCTAACATCTGTTTTCAATCAAAGGACAACAGGTCCTGGTGTTCTAGGGATCTTCACAGGTCACATCAGTGGCCCTAGCTTAATTATTAGTGGTGACCCTCCCTCAGGTCTTCAAGAGCAGGACTGGCTGGGTATGGCGGTACACACTTGTAATTCCAACATTTTTTTGAGGCAAGATCAGCCCAAGTTTGAGGCCAGACTGATCTACTACTGAGTTCCAGACCAGAGCCTAAAACAAGACCATGTCTCATAGCTAGATAGATGATAGATGGATGGATGGATAGATAGATAGATAGATAGATAGATAGATAGATAGATAGATAGATAGAAAAAAGAAAAGCTAGGGGGGCTCACGAGATGGCTCAGCACTTGCTGTCCAAGTCTGGCAACCTGAGTTCAAGCCCCAGACTCCACAGTAGTAGAGAGAAGACTTCCAAACATTGTCCTCTTTCCCCCACACACAGCTGTCCTCACACACATAAGAGTTTGAAAACAGCAAGGTTCTGGGCTCAAAAACGATAAATCAGTTCAAAAGGACCCAGCAACCGATCATAGGGAAGCGTCTCCCCAGGCTTCGTGAACGAGGGCCAAAGGGAAGAGCGAAGCTAGTGTCAGCAACTCTTAAAGCATTTTACTTGGAAACATTTCTAGACTCACAGGAAACTGCAAAGGTCCTGTGGAGAAATAGCCTGTTCCTTCACTTAATCGGCTA